GTCCACAGAGATACCAACACCTTGCATTGCTTGCAACAATCCATGCTTGTTCCATAGATTCTGGCTCAAGAGTACACTCACAAATTGGAGCAGTTGACGCAGCAGCAGATTTTCCGAAATCTTTACGGCAACTTGGAGAAAAATGCATGATCAGAGCTTCTGTACGTATCTTGCGAACGAGGTATGCCCTTGATCTTTGATCCTATCGGACCAAAGCAAGACGACACAGGGAACGTCGGCAGAGCTTTGCTCTTGCTGTGGGGCTGGCAGTGTCTCCTGCTCAGTGAAGATAAGTAGATAAAAGTTCAGAAGTTCTGCCAACTCTCATGTGCTTCGAGGTCGTAAGCGGTCTGGCGATTTTGAAGTGCTGTCAGGCCTAGGGATGGTTGCGGTACTGTATTATCGTTACTTTGCCTGCTCTCGATAAGACACCCGCGCCGTCTCACTGCAATCTGTTAGGCCCTGTCACAGATCTTGTCAGCGATGAACCTCACTCAGGCCTAGCCATCTCCGAATCACTCTATTTGACCCTTGTTCGTTTGACCCTCATTCGATTTCTTTGCAGGAGCTCTTCACTCCTTCTGGGCGCGAGGAGACCTGGAAAACTTGAATGGCTCCTGGTGTCAGTGGGTCGCACATAGGATGAGCTTGGCAATGACGAAAAACGCAATGATAAACAATGTATACATTCCGATGCTAAGGTGACACTTTCATTGTGCCAATTCTTCACCGCTTGTGTAGTGCTGCAGACCAAAGCTCTCGCATTCATTGCCACTTGAATTACAGTATGAAAATTGCATTTACAATACATTTTTCAACAAGAGTCATGTGTGCGAGTTATCTGCAAGGCGACTACTTCATGAAGGAGATTGTCAACCGGTTGACTCACGTATGTGGACGAACTTGCGCAGATTGGTGGCACTGTTTCTCGCCATATTAAGCCTTACCTGTTTTATTCAAGAAGTAGAAACTTGAGTATCCGGGATCAAGCACTTGAGTGATCACTGCAAGGGATGAATTGCGGCTTTGGAGTGAAGCATGTTCGACAAAGCCAATGCAAAGTGGTGAAACAAAAAGAATGTGATAAGCTGTGGTTGGACTCCTCCTGGTGTGGCTCGCTTGCATCCAATGGTGCATGTCATTGGGTTCACACTGTTAGTACAAAACATTGAAGCAACTGAGCAATTCGACCTAGGCGATGCATTGGTTTGGAAGATTACTGGCCGGATTCGCAGCACGGCTGATCTTCCTTCAGCGGAATACACTCCGAACTGGAAGCAGCTCCCACGCAAGCGATGGTATCGTCGGTTCAGGCTGGGTAAGTATTGGTATGAAACGAAGCGCGAAAGCGCGAACAGACAATGATTCCAGGGGACCTGCTCCGAGACTACTAGCAGCCTCGTGGCCAGAGGCAGGACGGATTCTTTTCCTGATTGCGGATTAGTCTTATCATTACGCGTGTTAGGAGCAAACCCAAGTGAAGAACTACAGTAGCCCGCATGTGGCCTCAGACCTGTCTTTATGACTGGCGCTGTGTGTCTGTCTGGTGATGATGGAGAGCTAAGGAAGGAGGTGGCAGAAGACCACAAGACAGGCCGGAATTTAGAATATAGTGCAGCAACGTCCTTTTTGAAGCGGCGCCCAGACGCTGCAAAGGCTTAGATGAATGGTGTGACATGGTGGGAGATGTGATTCCGCTCAATGATCTGTGGTGTGTCCTGCTTGGCATAGAGATATATTGGACAACTACCCATGTATCATCTGATGAGAAGCTCTATTTAGCTAAGGCATTGCGGCATTACAGAAAAACACACGGATCACTGTGCTTAGGTGGGTACTTTGTTGATGCCATCGTGGCCCGACTGATGGAAGAGAAGGACGCTGGATTGGGTTTTGCCACTTGATTGCAGCAGACATCTCTTTACTAGAACACATTCATAGAAGACTGAGGCTTATCCAAGAGGCAAAGACGTCGTTGGCGTGAAGAAAACATTAGACGGTGGCGGGCCAGCAAAATGCGCTGGATGGAAGCCAGAAGGGATGAAGAAGAAAGCGAGATTCTGGAGCAATACGTTGCGATTGCCAGAGAAGAAGCCAGAAGTATGATTGAGAATTCAAGTCTCTCTCTTGCATTGGTGTGAGGTCAACATAGAATTCGCAAAGACTAAATCCGCATGGTCTCTATTTCTAAGCCTACATTTGTATACCTTCATTGCTGTGAGGCTCTTCGGGCTTTTTGCGCCCCACTTCAGAAATCCGTCCGAAGACAACCATCTCTCGCTTTGAGTGTCTCGGCTGATGAGATCTGTGAATAGTCACTGAACTATGCTAGCGTTCTTCTCCCTTGCCTGAGGACAAAACAATTCCATCACGTATGCCTTGTTGATGTTCTCCGATGCCATGGATGGAAAGTTCCGTACGAAGAACATGGACCATTTTTCGCAGTAACAGACGGGAACCGCTTCCTGAACAAGTGGTCGCCCTTAACTCAGTTCAACATGATGTCACATCTTTTTCTGCTGCGTGTCAACACAGAAACTCAATGCTATGACCCATGCATCTTTCAGGAAGAAAGTGGTGTACATCGACCCCCAGTCACTCACCCACGAGGCCAAGAATGCTAAGTGCATTCTCTTCCAAGACCAGCACTTTGTGGCTTTGCGATTCTTGGATGGGCAATGGGAAATCAATTTTGAACGGTATACACATACCTGGGAAAAAGCTGATCTGTACCGTGGCCTTCAGCGTGGACATCCCTACTGTCAAGATGAGAAGGGCGTGTGGATTATCGATGTGGAAGAGGTCGATGCTGCCTATTACATTGCTTCCCAAGAAGATGTGTGCCACAACAGCAGAGGAAAAGATGAGTGCGGTGGCTCTATCTCTAACCACTCTGGCATGAAACGAAAGTGCGTCGAAGAGGATGAAGAATAAGCGCAATTCCGCTCAACAAACATTCGGCACAATCGTCAAGTTGCTCTGAGATTGACATCTCTGCGAAAGCAGGGGGTGTTTGTGTGCCAAACTGTTGGAATGCAGCAACAGTCTCTGAAGTTCAAGACATTGGTCGGTACTGATCTAGAACAACTTCTTCCCCAAATTCTGATTCGAGGATCTGTCAACAGAAGCTTAATGCCTTTGAAGCCAAACGTCTGGCCTTCCAGTGTGCCGGTTCCACTGGATCATCTGAGCCAGTTACACAGGCACCCCAGAGATGAACGATTGACTTTCGACGCAGCAACTCACACCTATTTCTGGGACGGATCGAAGGTTCACATTTCGTGCACTGGGCTTATACATCGCTTCAGTCATGACTTTTGCGCAGACAAAGCAATTGAAGCAATGAGACGATCCAACAACTGGCCACGGCCACAATACATGAGGGGCTCCGTATCCCAGAAACTTATACTTGACCTCAGCAAACTTCCTTACGCGCATTTGTTTCTAGATCTCCTGGATGGACCTGGCAGATGCCAAACAAAGTTGTGCCAAGCGATTCAGAAGCTGATGGTTCACCACCCTGAAGACAGTAACTTGCTTTTGTCTCTTGCAACGAGCGACGAAGAAATTAAAGAGCAGTGGAAACAAACTGCTGAGATTGCATCATCACAGGGCACCTGGATGCACGCCAGCTTTGAGTGCTTGCTCAATGGTGGCTACATAGAGACAGAAGATCGTGAAGACATGGAGCATGTTCTGTTTTGGAAATTTGCTCGGACTTTGCTTTCTGCTGGCGCAAAGATCTTTCGGACAGAGTGGACGATCTACGCAAGCGAGGAGGACCTTGCTGGCTCCATCGACTTGGCAGCTAGAATGCCGGTCCCTTGGGTGATGCTTTCAGCCAACCCTTTGCAGTTCAGACACAGTTTCGTTTTACTTTTCTCACTTCTTTACATCTTTTGTGTTATTCCTTGCGCACGTCCAAGTGTAGACAGTGTTGACATTGTTTTTGTTTTGCCTGTCTGCGTGAGGACAACGCTCTGTATCTGTTCGACTGGAAGCGAACAAAGAATCTTCAGTTCAAATCCAACTCCTTTGGCAAGTCAATGCTGCCTCCACTGGCTCATGTGCCCGATGCAACACTATGGCACTACAGACTACAGCTCAATCTATATGCCTCCATCATCGAGAAATACTACAATGAGACTGTGGGTGCAATGTTTGTGGTTGGCTGTCACCCCGATAATGGCATGCACCCGTTCGTGGACGATGTTCCCCGCATGCGCGCTGAAGCTGATCTTCTTTTGAGAGCATCGCAAACAGATCGCCTTGGGGGGAGCAGTCCTGCACAGTGGACATTACAACAGAAGCATGTCTTTCCAAGGCCTTCACCTATTGATCCAGAAATGCAAGCCAGGATTTGGGCTCAGCTGAAGCAATTCCGTACGGAAGTAGAGCCTTCGTTTCCTACACTTGCAAAGTTTCCGCATCTCTTTTGGATTCTACCAGTTCCTTTTGATCTGCAGCAGCCACGTGTGAATTGGATTGTTCAGATGAGGGCATATGGTTGTTTCCTGTCCATGATTCACAACGGTCAGTCACAACAGTTAGAGCTTGCCCTGATGGCGTACTACAGTCCAGAAATTGAGAGGAACTTTGGACTGCTAGAACTGGTTTCAACTCAAAAGGCTTCTGTCAGCAGACGTGACAGGCTGAAGAGGTTGATGGCTGCTTGGATGTGCTTGCACGTGCTGTCTGTACCAGTCCCAGGAAGTCATATCTTGCCACTCGCATCATCTACACCTCAATCCCGCTATTTGACAATGCTGGCAGTTGTTCCAAATGTGCCGCTCACCTCGAAAAAGAATAAGAATAAAAAACCCTGTATGCAAGGAGGGTATGATGCACTTGGCGGTGGCCAGTTCGATTCAGATGGATGCTCGTCTTCAAGAACTCTGTGTCTCATTTTCTTTCAGTTGTTAAAAAGGTTAAGCTATTCTTGAAAGGTGTTTCTTTGCAGTTATTGTTTTGTCTGCTTCATACCTTAAGGAGAGAGCGGCATGCCTGCAATTGGTTGCGCTGATGACTCAGTAGACGTGGCCAGCCAGCGAAGCGGTCCACGCACTGCTGCGAAATCGAAAGCAGGTCCAAGCCAGAGAGTAGAAGACAGTGCCATGAGAATTGTCAAGGAAGAGGACAAAGAAGCTGACGACATTCCTCTAGAAGATGCTACTTTTGAGAGGCTGAAGCAAAGACGTCACATGAGGGGAGCCAACACGTCAGATGTAGATTTCGCGCACCTGTTCAACTCCTTGGCAAAAATGAACGACTGCTTCCAGCAAGAACCTGCAGAGGAGATCGATACGTCAGACACCATCTTGCACAAGGTTCGGCTATGGCAAGATTGTGTGCGCAAGACATTTGCGGATGGCTCTGACTATTTCATTCGCCTTGGGGTGGGTGTCTTGGCATTTGGGCGGGCCAGACAAGCAGACATCTTTCTGCGAGAGCACGCGTTGCTGTACTGGGTCGCCGAAGGCCACTCCACCCTGCGTTTCCACACAGGCGACTGCTACATGAAAACCCCAAGTGGTGCATTCCAACAGCACAGGGGCATACCCCCTGACCATGATCGCGTGCAAATTTTTCTTCTGCATGTGGAGGGCATTTTTCGGAAAATGCCCGCGCGAACACACCGGACTACTGCAGGACTGCTAGGCGCAATGAAAAACATTCTCCTTGACTATGACAACCAGGAGAATCAATTCTTGGCTGCGTGCGTGAATGCTTGCTTAACTTTTGAAGGGCAGCAGCGCAAAGAAAAGAATAGAGAAGAACATGCAGATGAAGAGCAAGAGGGTCAGGGGCAACAAGGTCCACAAGGACCATGGAATGCAGCCACTGCGAAAACCATCATGGCAGTGAAAAAGCAGTTGTCATATGAGCTGTGCCAAGATAAGCTCCTACATTTTACGTCGGAATGGTGTGACACACCCAAGGAAGTGGAAGCTTCGTGTTGCTACGAAGACTGCGCGGTGAAATACGATGATGAGCTCCTACCCGCTCGACAAATTCAGCGTGAGCAGCTTGTGAACTGCTATTTGAGAATCCCTCATTCCATCAAGCAAACAGTGCCTGCCGACATTGTGGAAAGGCTTCGCAAGTTCTATTCACAGACGTTCTGGGGGAATATTGAAGCCTTCAAATGTGGACAGGCAGCGCAAGCCTTGGCCAAACGAGGTCTCAACGTTGTTCGGCTCTTTATTGGACTATCTAGTGGTGGGGTTGGACAATCTCTCTACTCCACTCATCTTCAAGCAATGTATGCTCACAATTTTGCTTTCTTTGATCCTGGCGTTTGGTTCCACGAAGATGAAATGAGGAAGCAAGTGGAACAATTGAATGGACGTTGCATTCTGACTGGGCAGGAGAGTCCGTCTGGCACTGGTCGCGCCTGGGCTAGAGTGTGGGTTTGTAATCTACTTGTTCTAGTTCTTCTGTTTGATGTGGCCATCGTTTGCTTAACTGAAACCGTTACTTTGTACACCCAAGGCAAGCTGAGAGAAGACCTATTCAAGAAATTCGTCAGTGGCGACGGCATCGCAGGACGAAAGCCCTATGGGTTCAGCACCAAGATGATTCACTGTGTGGGCTGGAAACGCCTAGAGGCAAATCGTATGTTCACCTTTGAAGATGTGGGCAAGAGAAATTTAACGCAATTTTGAGAAGAGCGCTGGTTTGGAGAGCCAAAGCAAGGTTTGAAGATCCACAGGTTATCGCGTCCGCATATGCAGATATCCACAAGGACGGTGTCTTTCCGAACGACCCAGATTTAGCGAGCTTCCTCACATCTTCGGCTGCTGTCGCTGCAGCGCTACAAATTCAGCATGCATTCGAGGCAGAGTACAGCAAGCAAGCTTGCATTGACATGATCGAGAACTATGTCACTTGGGGTGGAGATGGTGGCTTGACAGAGCAAACAATGAGGGAAGCGTGCAGGCTCCCGCCCAGAGATATCCGTGCTGCCAACACAAAGTTTTCTGCAGTCATCCACCTAGATGAAGTAGAGGATGATGAAGAAAAGGAACAAAAAGCTCAATGGTGCGCTGCACGAGAAGCTGTCATGGATGTGGCTTTCAGCAAAAAGAAAATTTTCTTCCCGGAAGCCTTGTTGACAAGCTTGAAAGCCAAGGATGGCCCAAATGTTTCGAGAGAAGGCTTGCTTGACGGACTGCTGAACATGAAGTACTTGCAGAGGTTGCCTGGATCAAAGAAGGCGGACACCCGCTACATTCCTGTCTTGACTGCTGAGGTCTCTTTGTGTGACATTTTGCATCACCAGGATCGGATTTGTGAGCTTGAGTTGTCTGAAATGTATAACATCGACAAGTTCAGCAACTACCTCACCCAGCATCCTCTCAGAGCAGCTAATTCAAAGATTTTGGCAGATGTCCTTCAAGCTTCTTCAGAAAGCAGAAGACCTAGAGCAGGCAGACCTTCACCAGAGGAGGTCAAGCAGAAGGAAGACATGCAAGCTCGCAGTCGCAAATTGCGGAGTGCTGAGACTCACGGAGAGGAGTTGCTAGAGGCACTAACAGAGCCAATCCAGAAGAAACGCAGGTTCTCGCAGAAAAAGCCTGAAGTCAAGACAGAAAATTCTGAAGATCACATTCTCATCCGCAAGGTGAACTACCAATACCCTGGCCCTTGCACTATCCGAACTCGCAAACAAGTGGTAGGTATCGGAGCTCAAAAACTCAGCAGAAGAGCGCAGGTGATGCTTTTGGATCAGACACATGACCTGGACATCGAGAATTGTCTTTTCACTTTGCTTCCCCAACTGCTGGAGAAATTGAAATTGGATCCACCAATGCCACCGGATGCACTAGCAGCCTTTGCCCAGTGCAGGTCACAAAGGACTAAAGTTTGCGCAGATGTCTTGCAATTGCCCCTACACGTGGGCAAAGAGCTGCTGGTATCTATTCTGTACGGCGGACATGTATCGGGCAAATTGGTGCGACATGACTTTGTGCAATCTTTGCAGCGAGCATCTATGTATTGCAAATGGGCTGCTGCTTCCAGCTTACCTGAGGAGTTTGCATCCTTCGTGGAGGACACTACAAAGAAAAACCCTGACAGCTCTGTTCTAGTTTATCTCTACATGGCCGCTGAAGACTACGTTCTGTCTCAATGGTGCGATCATCTTTTGACCTTTTCACCCACCCACTTGTCACTACACTTTGATGGTGTCCGCATATCACCTCTGCAGGGGATCTCCATTGAAGAAGTTTGCAAGCAAAGTGCATCCTACATTCTGGACAAGACTGGCTTCAAGGTCACAATCCGAGAGAAGAGACATGAGACTGTGAATGCCTTGATCAAGAAAGCTGCTGCGTGTGCGAAGAGGGCTCCCTTTCCCACAGATCATGTCTACTGTGTGCCAGGGAATTGTATTCCCCACGCTTTGGCCAGTTTGGGTGCCATTACGGAAGAGAAGGTGTCACTGTTGACAGAAGCATGCCCAGACAATGCATATATGCAACAGCGTGGATGTCGCACATATCTGCAATGTTCCAATATGTTCCACTGTTCCTTCTCGCCCGTCTTGTGCACTCAGTCTTTTGATTTTCGAGGAAACTTCCTCTTACATTCCGAAAATGGTGGCAGCCCACATTGCGTTGCTGTGAAGCAGGACGAAGAAGACAAGCTGATTGTTTTTGACACAGATGGTGTCTTCCACTTAGCAGTAGCTGACTTCGAGACAGCGTTGTTAGGTGGTGTGGATGCTGCCACGTGTGTTATTTTCAAACTTCAGGACGGCAAAAAGGATACAGATGTGGGTATGTCCGATTTTGATAACCTCCTGGACTTAGCAGCAGGGAGTTCTGAATCAAATGAAGAATGCACTACAGACGATGCTCAGGACACAGCATTATTGCCAGAGGTGTCCGAAAAGAAGGGAAGCTTTGATTGGCTAGATGACACTGGACGTGTGATCACCGACCAGGTGTTGTTGAGTGATTTGCAAACGGAGGCGCAAAAGTTTATGGAAGCTGCCAAGGCTGGACAATTCCGAGCCGAACGCGGTGCTTTTCAATGCCCTGCGTGCCCCTTCCGGAAGTTCGACCGCTGCAAGCGTCTGGCTGTCCATCTTTCTCGGTATCATACAGCAAAGCGTCAGTTCTGTTGTTCCGGCACAAAGCAGATCAAAATCATTCTTGCTCTCCATGACTCAGACATGATTGCTGAAAAAAGGCAAGGGAACTACCTGAAGCGAAGCGCCACGCTGCTAAGAAGATCTATCAAGCCAATGCTTTCGCCGCAGAACAACGCCGTCGACAAACAAATTCGGTTTGTATTGGATGCTTCAGGTCCAAGGGTAGTGCATCGGCAAGCGCTTCGCAGCGCGCGTCGAGTTGGCAATATGTACTACACACATTCCTTCGCTGAGCGGATCTTCCAAGAAATGCTCTTGAACCATGCCAAGGCGCGGGGAGATGAAAAAGGTTCAATGGTCGCACAGCATGTGCTATGAAGGTGAAAAACCCTTGTAGTGACTGCTCTAAGCACCCCTCAGGTGTCTGCCTTGGTACCTCGTTTTTTGCTTGACTCAGCAAAAGCTGGCAACAGCCTGGCGTCAATGCTGCCCACCCACACTGCGTGTTGGTGGCCTGTGGTTGAGGACGTATTCGCATCAGCAGCTTGCAAAAAACTCCGTCATCATCTCCTGGACCAAGCTGTTGCGCATGAGGAGTGCTCGTACCTGTCCATTGATGGAACATTCAAGGTATGCTTGCCATTGATGGGGCAGGGTCGGTTTTCAGACCCAAGAGCCTTACGCGACCAGCATCCTTTTCCGGCAAGTGACAGCTACACCCGTGTTCTCTCAGTGCGGGGAAGAAGCGGTGCAGTGCTTTGCCTGGAGCCATCTTGTGGAGAAGGCGCAGACCACATCAAAGCGTGTCTTCAAAAAAGCATTTCAGCGCCTGGACTTTTGCAAGTGGAACATATTGCAAGCGACAATCCTTCACCGAAGCTTTTTTCTGAGCTCAAATCGATCTGCGCAAACCTCAAGGCCTTGTCTTTAGACCCAACACATACGGCTATGCACTATGAGCAGGGGCTGGGAGGAAGAAAGTCTGCAGGTTCGAGCCTACTTCGGTCATTCATGGTGAAGTTCACCAACCACGACGAAGCAGTGACCCAAAACATTTGGGGACCATTCTTTGAAGGACAAGCTTGCGTGGCCCTATCTCGTGAGGAGCAAATGTTGCGACAACACATTCTGGACAGCTCCTTGGCAGTTGTCCGTTCCAAGCGGATACTGGCTTCTTGTGAAGAATTGAAGGTCTGGCCTACACGGATTCAGTTGGTGGAGGCACTGGCTGCACTTTCCTGTCTTCACAGAACCGACATGGGCCGGAAGATCGAAGGGACTAAAACTACGCTGGCGAAGCTCCTACACAATGTCACAAGTGCAGAGAAGCTGGAGTGGCTCTTCAACAACTTGAGGTACAGGCAATTCTTACCACATCGAGTTCGTCTGCTGCTGCCTTCAGGCACTACTGCCAACGAAGCACTCCATGCAGAAATCAATTCATGGTATCGACAGACTCAGCAGATGCACCGCAGCACATTGGTGCAAAAGCTGCAAATCCAGCAGCTGGGCAAACTATTGGCCCACAACATTGCTTTGCACAGCCCCACAGCAAAGCAGATGCCAAGCTCTCATGTCCTCTCACAGCGAGTTGGAAATCCTCTATGGTCAGCCAAAACCTGGCAGTCGGACATGGCGCAACAAGCATCAACCTTGCCATTGAAAGCTCGCAGAAAAACAGAGAAGGAGCTGGTGGCAGAAGCAGCTAAAAAGCGTCCAGCAGCAGCTCCAAGGCCGAAGGCGCGTGCGAAGCGCACGCCATTTACTTTGGAGCGCAAGCCCGGTCTCCTAAGGAGCGGGGTGCGCAAAAGAAACTCGATGTGACAGGTGAAAAAGAATTGCGTAAACACTGCTTGTTGTGCTTGTGCAAACACAAACAACACTATCTTTGGACATTGGCACGCTGGATTAGACTTAACCCTTTTACACTCTGCGCGCTCAATACACAAGCAATTAGTATGTACTCTCAACGATCAATATGTTGCTTTCTCCCGGCCCTACCTGCTTGCTTGCCTGGTATAGAGGGAACCTAATCTCTATGATTTGCTGGATAGTTTCTTGGCATCGCGCTCCGCATCTGGTTCTCCAGTTTCAAGTCCAGTTATGGAAGTGGAGCAACAGCCTTGCTATTTAACGTCTGCGAAGTATTATTGTGCTCTTTTGCTGACAGGAAAAATGGGCGGGTGCTGGATGTTGCACTTAGAACCAAAGCAAATGTTGTCTTGAGAGCTCCCACGACTCATTGTACCTATTTTTCCATGCCACCCCCCCCC